AAAAAAATGTTTGTTTCAGAAAATCAATGCAACATAAACTGGAATGAACCTTGACTGAATTCTTTTAGATTGAAGAACAACGCCTTATCAGGGTGGCCCCACTTGACCACGCTCATTAGTCGGGCTAGCCGATCTCAGGTGCATAGTGTGGACTTTTTGACTAGACGCACGTCAGGAACCGCAACATATTTTGGATCCGGGGATCTAACGACCGCCAATTTTTATGTTTCCTTGCCATTAGTACGCACGCTCTGTGTATATGCATAAAGGACGGTACACGCCTGAATCTATATTTATCATATAATTTTCTATGAAATACCTATATTTCTCMATTTCGTAAAATTGATATTTATTTTCACTAGTGAAAATAACACATTCGAGGTTTCTCTATATAGTGGAAGTAAGAAAAAAGCTATTTTACKACATAATTTGCTTTCATATACAATTATATGATAAATAGAATRTTACATGTTCGCTTCTTGGAGATACAAATTTTTTCTTCTCRTGTTGAAAATCTCACACTCTTTTCAACASTYGAAGATAAAATTYGTATCTCCAAGCGATARTATCCTCTRTATATATGTAATATCCTCTATATATCATCAAAGTCTTTAATGCTAAATAGTATTGATTTCTTTGTTCACTTCATCACTATAATTTGTTTTTACAATAATATATGTTTTTACAATAATRTAATATTGGGATAAAACTGTAATAATTTGACAACATAAACGATAAAACTCTGATAAAATTCTGATATCAATTGCTTGCTCTTTTCGTTAGYGAAAAAATTGATATCAGCCAAAAGTCCAAGAAAACTGTTGTTTAATTKGGTGTGTCATGTCCTCTTCCTAGATCTTGCAGTCTGATCATCCTGACATTAGGTGGAGATCCAATGTTACTGAAATTTTAATAATAGTAAAAATTAGAAGAGAAAAAGGTAAAGACCCTCCATGTTTAGGAGGCGATAGATGGGGTTATAGTAGTGAGTATATAACAATATCAATAATAGGTAACAGAAAAAGACAAATACTTCTCCAATTTAACTGTAATACTATGAATAAATAGTTCAGTAATGATGATAAAAATTRTGTTATACTCAATTGCAAAACTTTTGACCACTAACATACATCATTATATCAGATGCACTGTGGGTAATTTCATTTTTGTACTTTAACCAAATTTTTAAAATTGAAATATGAACTATTATTATATTGATATATCATGTCAGTTATTGGCCAGAATTTCTTCAATTGATGTATAAACAATACATATTAAAATGTCACTTTAAATAGTACTGATAATGATGATGATGATAAATACAACTCATGATACCAAGTCAAGAAAGAATCATAATTRCACATTATTGACATACCCAGGGTTTTGTGGAGAAAAGACAAKGAGTTGTCGTTCTGACTGCATTTTAGCAATATTTAGCATAAAATCCATACATACATGACGATTGGCCGTATCCTGTTAAACATAATATCATATTAATTAATTAATTATTTCATCATCAGTAACATCTTGTGGAATTCTCTCCAGTGCGAGACAGACTTATCAAGTTACAGAATCAACATTAAAAAAAAATAATAAAAAAACCCTACCATATATAAATCAAAACATCTAAAAGGAGTCTCACTTGCTTCCCATAACGACATAATGAAACAGATAAAAGATAATGACGACCTCTCTCCATCAGACAATGTATCAGTGTCTTGCCCCTCTCCAGCACTGACCTAAGTAGAAGAATATGTGGTAGCATCATGGGCATAATGAGAGAGATATGTGAGAATAATGGGAAACAATGAAGCCACAAGAAACAATCACAATCAGAGCCCTTAATATTTAAAAATTTATAGTTGAGGGTCACCGGCATCATCAGGTCATGAAGACATAGAGCGGATTTCGTATGAGTGGGACACCGTTACTGCATGGTTACCGCACAGTTACCGCACCTGGCCTGCACAATTTTGGTGAACCAATGGGGCACTAGAATTTGGTTACAGTACGATTACGGTCACAGTACAGTACCGTCCGTTTCCCACTTATACGAAATCCGCTCTAATATATTTAAAATTCTGTGGAAGATTTAGCTTGCCATTCGTTGGGCATTTTGAACCTAAATAATTTTGAATCAAAAAATGAGAACTACCTTAATTTCTAGTCTTTCATTTTTATGATCAAACTTCAGTTGACCAGTGTATCCCCTTAGTGACAACAGATGAAGAAAATAAGACTTGGCTCTTAAACGAATGAACCTTCGATAATCAACAAACTTTGCTACCCTTTTGTTCAAGTCTTCTTTCCATTGCTGCAACAGATTGGAGTAGAATTGTTTTCAAATTTATTGACAATCCATAAAGAGAAAAACTTCAATCTAATACTGATAATCTTTTGATAGTCAATACAGATTACTGAATGGAATGATTTATGCATTGTTCAAGTTAAGTCCTTTCTTTGTTGTTTTTCTATCGAAACTCACCYTGTTGCGTCTTATCAAGCTTCTCATACAGGACTTTGTTTCTTCAAACTTGGTTCTAGCTTCAATGTACTTTCTTGTGATTTCCTCAGGCTTTCCGAGGCTGTCCAACAGAGCACATTACCATCCATTTTCAAATTCAAAGCCAATAACCACAGTTTCATTTCGCAACAGATTCTATTGTACAAAGACCTCACCAAACACACACAAAAAACACCAAAGCATTGTAAAGCATTTCAATTTTTTGCCAAATTAAACCTGTATTCCTTCTGGGTTAGTGTYAACTCAACAAATAAATGTAAATTGTCAGGCAATTGTAAATAATCACAACATTTTCTCATGTTCTCTTTTGTGTTTGGTAAGGTCTTTGCTCAAGAGAATCTGTTTTCAAATAAAATAGTGGTTATGGTCTTTGAATTTGAAAATGGAGTATGCTAAAACCAACTTTACTTTAGCCACAGTAAATAATATCAAAATGCCTTGTATCATGATAAATACTACCAGGTATGCTAAAATGGTCTCCATGACAACACATAACACAGAATGTAGTCATATGTTAATCATTTTGTCATCACTTACTTGTTTTCCTTAATTTGTATTCTTCTTTCCTTTTGGACGATCTCTGCTTCCAAGTCACGGACAGATTTCTTTGTTCCAACAAGTTTACAGTACTGACTAGCTATTTCTGTAGTGTCCTATGTAGGCAAAACGTTTTCATTATGACAARCAACAGGCTCGTCCAAACCAAACACTTCCTACAATAATACTGAATTAATAATACAAACAGAAAGAAGATAAAGTTGAATGATTTCAAATTAAGAGCATTACTTTTACTATCTTCCTCATGGCCCTCAATTCATCCTCAGCCTTCTTAACTGCATTATCCACCTCTTTGCATTTCTTTTCAAAATGTTTTTGCTTATTTTTCTCAGCACCAATGTTCATAAGAATAACATCTTGTCTATCCTAAGCAGAGAAGAACAAATCAATCAATCAACAAGCCATCTGACCAATCAATCAATCAATCACCCATTCAGTAAATCAGCCAACCATTAGTAAACTAATCCACCAATCAGCCAATCCATCAATCAATCAATCAATCACTCATCCAGTCTGTCAATTAACCATTAGTCAACCAATGAACTAATCAATCAACCAATCGCTCATTCAGTCAATCAGCCAACCATAGTCAACCAAATCCACCAATCAATCAATCAATCAATCAATCAATCAATCAATCAATCAATCAATCAATCAATCAATCAATCAATCAATCATTCAATCAATCATTCAATCAATCACTCATCCAGTAAGTCAATCACTCATTAGTCAACCAATCAACTTATCAATCAACCAATCACTCATTCAGTCAATCAGCCAACCATTAGTCAGCCAATCAACCAACCAATCAAAAAAGTCAACAAATATATCGGTCAATTGATAGACATGAAAACATAACCAGTGTCACAATGGATCGACCCAGATAAAACAAAGTTTTAGGTTGCTGTACCTTSAAAGAATCATGTTTACYCATGACCTCTTGTATCTTCTCTTTGTGTTTTTGACTTTTGATTTCTTGTTTTTGAACAGCTTCCTGAGCTTTCTCACACTCTGATTCTGCATCAGCAACCTGGAGTAATTATAACAATTACAATGACAATAATGACAATGATAACAATGAAGAGAATGAAACCTGGTTTTCTAGTTCTTTAACTTTTTCAGCATAGGAATCTTGGTTTTCTTCCTAAAAACTCAAAAAATGTCACTATAAAAATCAATTACTAGATGTGCATATGTCAAAACATGACATGTCTTAGCTTCATCAATTAGTCCATGTATTCRTGAATACATGTACCTGAGTTGTAGTCTGCAGCTGCCTTTGATTTACTTCCAGGCCAGCTCGTTTTGCCAGCAGTTTAYCATGTCTTTGGTTTCTTCCATTATTCAAATCAGTCATGCCTCTGAAATCAAACATTTTTYATTCAGTCTGATTTGTTTTTATTGCCAGAAGATTCCATTATTGCCAGGAATCAAATGCAGACCTAACAACTTTAAGTCTGAAATGCTGACAACTAGGTAATGACATCAGTAGCCAGATTTGAGGGTGTAAGATTATATAGTTCTAGCTTTTTCTATCATTAATTATTCAGTCTATAAGATATTCTAAGAATAAGTCAAATTGATACACATTTGAACCACTTGATAAACATAACAAGTCAATTTGATACACATTCRATCCACTTGATACATATTTGATACACATAGCAAATGGTTGACAGAAGTTATTTTTGCTGACGATCAAAGTTAATATTATGATATCCGTGATGGTGTAGTGTTCAATTATTATTTTTATTTGTCGTTGCTATTTTATATACTTACATCTGTCTGATTTCTCTCATTCTACCAGCTAATTGTTGAAAAAACTGTTCATGTGTGCAGTTCAAATCATCGCTGAGGTTATAATGATTTAACTGAAATCCAAAATATTACACATGTCAACTATAAAATATTAATCACTTTAATATTTAGCTTCCGAATATCATCACTATATTAAATATGCATTTTTATTGTAATCAGCCATCTCTGACTTCCCTTAAAAAACTATCAATCAATTATCATTAACAGTCACCCAAACAATTAATCAATAACCAATCAACTGATCATTGAATCCCTAAACAAATCCACCMACCAATAAATAGTTGATCAATGAAAAACAATAACAACCAATCAATATCTTAAYTTGGTAATATTTACCGGGGTTGCAAGATCAGGTAATTTCCCTTTTTCAAAGTTTTCTAATTCAGTTATTTCCTGCAATTGAGTAATAA